TATTTTTTATGCACATTCATCATACTTAAATTAATTAATTTGCATAAAAAGTCACTATTTATTCATAAAAAATCGGATAAAATATTCACTCAGCATCAAAAAATCATCCTAAGTGCACCAAATATTTTATCAACCTATTTACAATTATTCCATACTCATGAAATATTTTTCTCACACCTTTAATATATTTTAATTTATTTAGTAATAGTTCGGGATATTACAATTATCATCATCATCATCATCATCATCATCATTATTCTTATTGTTGTTGTTATTGTTGTTGTTGTTGTGGTTGTCGTTAGTTAGTTTTGGTCTCATTAATTTTTATATTTTACTATAATTTACTCGTTTATTTTATAACAAAAAAATCAATAATTAAAAAATTGAAAAAGGAAAACGTATAAAAAAAAAATCAAGCTAACTTCCCATTTTATTTTATTACATTATCATAAAAATGAAAACACAAAAAATAAAAATAAAATACAAAAACTAGAGCTAATTATTAAGAAAATACAATCAAGGGTGCAATTGAATAAAATTAAAAGAACGGAAATTGAAATCTTGGGATGCAAGGGTGTGATTGTTAGAAAATGAAAGAATAACGAACCAAAATAACATCTAATGGAAGGAAAATTAGAATATGCGAGGTTGTTAATTGAAAGAAGGAGCGAACGACAGGACCAATTTAAAGGTTGTCCCAAACGACATGTTGTTTGTTTCAACAAAATGATACCATCCTTCCTTCCAATTATTTGTCATCTTCTACATAAAGAAGACAAACCTAAGCTAGACGAATTTCGAGTCGGTATCGTACCGACCAAAAATCACACTTTAAAACTTTGCACCAAGATGATTTTCATGACATATACACATACAAACAAAGGTCATTTCCTATTTTCTCGCTACCAAGGACAGTTGCCCAAAAAGATGAAGCAAAGGATGCAACCTCTACTCGGATAAAAACAAGGAAGGAGTGATATGAAGGATGAAGAAGAAAGGGAGAGTAGTATAAATACAAGGGCATTGGGCGACGAATAGAGAGGGGAAGAGGAGGATGGAAAAACAAAAAGGCTTTGAGGGCTCTAGTTTTGGGTAAAATATTGAGGCTTTAAAGTTGCTTTTTTTTTTTTTTGGTCTCTAGTCCGTTGATTTCGAGCTAGAGAAGGAAAAAAAAACAAAAACAAAACAAAACAAAAAATGCCTAAAGGTCTATCGAGCATGGGCTTTGGGCCTTGGGCTTTGATCTTGGGCTACACACCATTGGGTCTCATTAGTTTAGGGCTAGGCTTTGATTTGGGCCCTTAAATAATTAGGTTTTTTTAAAATATTTTAGGATTTATTTTACCATGGCTGCCTTGCTTATTTTGATTTGAATTTTTTATATTGTACGTATAGTTATCCTTAATTTGTGTTTAAATTTTTTTAATTTTTGAAATTTATTTACTCGTTTAGTTAATATTTTGTATAATTTTTAATTGTTTTGTTGTTTGTCTAGAAAATTTAGTCATTTGGACATGAGTTTGATTTTATTTCAATATGAAATTCTTAGGTTTTGTACATATGTTTTATCCATGTCTTGCGTTTCAATTTTTGTAATTTTTATAATTTATTTATTGTTTGCTTGTAATTTATTTCAATGCAATATAATTATTGTTAGTTAATGTAACGACGATGAAGAATAATACATCTTATAGAGGAGCAAAATAGATAAAATTTTTGTTTTCCTCCATCTAAAGTCCCAAATCAACCATTGAATCAACTAATTATATTAACGGAATCATTTAAATTATTACCTCTTAAAGCATAGTATCAATTTAGTGGATTGAACTCGTCCAAATATCTAGTCTCCAGTGATAATCCATGCAGCTTAAATACCAAGAACTTTTACTTAAAGTTCTTGAAAAACCCCTGTATTTAAAGTATTCCTTCTAGGCTTTCACTTAAGCATGTTGACCCAATGACTCAACAATTAAATGGATCATACATATAAGCCAGTGTCATGTACTTTAGGGAGGTTCACATTAGAAAACTATTTCTTAAGTTACCCCTATCAATTTAAAAAACCAAAATTAGGAAATCCAAATTTGGAAATTATTCCCTTATATTTTAGAAAACATAATTTAGGAAACTATTTCCTAAATTATAGGAATTCCACTTTAGAAAATTGATTTCTATTTTAAGAAACTATTTCCAAATTAGGAAACTATTTCTATAAAAAATAGTGCTTTAGGAATTGAAATCAATAATTTCAATTCTCATTTTTCTTTCATAATTCTTCGTTTCTCTTTATTTGTGTCAACGTCAAGCTTATGCGTGTGACTCGGTAGGCTTATAGATATGATAGTAATGTATCGAGAAGTGCAAAATAATTCTTTTATCTCTCGGTATATAAATAAAGATTAGCCTTTAGCAAGACATTATGAATACTCAATTATCTAGAAGGATTTCTTAATCCGTAATAACCTTTTACAAGTATGGTTTTTATACAATTAAGTCATAATGTCAATTTATCATAGTGTGATCTCAAACTTGGTTTGTTGCCTATTCGATTAAGATCACATAAGTTTTTTTTTATTTTCGAATGTCTTAGCTCTCAAGTAAACCAATCATTCTATATTGGTATATTTTCACTCGTGACCATGGATTTTTTAGCGGACATTCATAGAAATATAATGTGATAACTTCTTTAGCATGTAAGGAATGACATGTCCTATCATAATTATCCACCTTTCTCCATTAGATTTTTTATGTACCCAATGAATTGCCCATATACATCTCTTTACCGAGTCCATCAAAACGAGTGTTAAAGTACATCAATCCTCTAATGAGATACTCGTGATAATCTCAAGTCAAAAGACTACCTGTACCATCTCATATGAGATTCTCATTAACTATACCAAATGGATTCTTATGATGAGTCACATTCGGTGATATGTTTTCTAACATTATTCACCTGTGTGCTTGCTTTGGTATCACCATGTTAGTAGGTATGAGATCTTCTACTATTATCTTATACCAAGAGCATAGTACACACAATTCCTACCAAATATTGTTAATGTCCAATTTTGACTATGCTATGACTTGGGACATTTAATGATATCATTTAAGTGTATTAGTATTTATCTCACATCTATTAATCAATCATCAAACCAATGAATATCATATGGACTTTTATCTAATTCTATCAAGTTACAAATAATATGAATTAATAAAAAGACTTCTTTATTAATAAAACTACAATAATACAATCTTCAAATCATCTAAACAGAGTTGGATCTTAGGCACCTACACTAACGGAAGAATCGTCAAGTCTCATAGATTTTAGGAATTGATGCCGATCCTTTATCAAATTCATCATGTGAAAACAATTGTCATCTTAGGATAATTAAGAAATTTAACTAATCTCCTATTTAATAAGAAAAGACATTATCATCGAAATTAAAAAAAAAAAAACAAAAAGTCAATTAAGAAAATTGCAAGTCCGATGTCATTAGTAATTAGGTCATTCCTCAACATACTCGGTTATATTAGGACATAATTGGATTCGATGTTGACTTGTCAAAACTCTCGATTTCGGGACCCAACACCAATTTAATCCGATGCAATAAAAAAATAAAAAATAATTTGATTTAGCCAATAAACATAGACTTTAGAAATAATTCGGAAAAAGTAATTAGAAGACATATTTTAGGACTAAATTAGACATGGTATCTTTTTTTAGAAAGAGTGTTTTTGGGTGATCATTAACTTCCCAAACGCATAGCCAACTCCTTATCCGTAATCTCCGAATCCAATTGCCTTTTTTTAGGTGTTTTAGTATTTTTTTAATACTAAGTGGCAACTCCAAAACATTTGTTAATTTAGGTTCCCGAGAACAAATAAACAAAAATCCAAACCACTTTTTATTTCTTTCCAAGTCCTCTAAATGCTCGGATAGCGACATACGTTTTGTTTTTTAGCAAGGAAATTAGAGCATTGATCATCTATATCCTATATTTCATCAAATCACACATAATAAATCAAATCAAGTTGTAGATTAAACTAATTTATTCTAACCTAATTCTTGATGATTGGATATAGCTAAAGGCCCAAGAACCTAGTTTTCAATATTGTTTTCGTTCTCCAAAATCTAGGGTTACATCAAGAGTTCAAGAATATGTTGAAACCTTTCTTAAATGTTGTGAACTAATTCCCGCATTATTGTCTTCTTAGGAAAATCTGATTCTTTGACCTTGGTATCAATGACTATTTCTTTTGTTTCTTCATTTTCCAAATAGAAAGAGAATTGATGTACCAATATCATTAGTCACAATGATTTGGGGCCATGATGACTTCTTGCAAGTGATTTCTCTATAATGTTTACCATTACATAAAAAATAAAGATCATTAACATAACTTTTCTCATTCAACTCATAAATAGTGAAATGGCTAACTAGAGTTTCGTCATTGATACCAAGGTCAAAGAATCGATTTCTCTATAATGTTTACCATTACATAAAAAATAAGGATCATTAACATAATTCTTCTCATTCAACTCGTAAATAGTGAAATGGCTAACTAGAGTTTCTATCATTGATACCAATTTGTTTAATTGCTCTAATTGATATAAAATTCAGCCTTTCATAGGTGCCAAGATGTACTCGATACCAATTGACATCACAATCAATTGAAGAAAAAAAATATTTTTTTTTCTTTTCAAATTGAACTGAAGGAGCATTCTTGAACAACAATTGCAAATTGATGAAAAACAAATACTAGAACACGAACAAGTGCAACTAGCAATAGGAAGAAAAAGTAGAAATACAGAGGAGAAGAACAGGGAGAACCAAAAAGAACTAAATGAGAGAAATAATTTATGCTAATATCACAACTGACTAACACAAATTCTCATCACTCTCTTTTATTCGTCCAACTAACTACTAACAATTACAACTATTAGTAGCAGCTTAATTCAAGTGATAACTCATATATTTGCCAACTAAGCTGTCAACTTCGCTAACTCACTTTCCTCTCTTTCCCATTAATTCCAACAATTCATAAATGACTGCATCAGATTCACGAGGCAGCTTTTGGTGCATCTCAGGTGGCGCCCACTCTACAAAGAAAAGAATCTGTGGCAGGAAGTGCTTCTTTACACTCTTGTTACATAGACTATCCCAACTCCCAATGACCTGTAAAAATCAAATTTGAATTAAGAACATGACAACATAAACCTGTCGCAACTTTCTATACCATGAAATACCTCCACTTGAGCCTTATCATAGCTCGTCAACTTTTTTTTTTTTTTTAATAACTTAGGATATTCGAATCGAACTTACGCGTATCACGATTAATTTCCGAACTCATTAAATATCTTATAAATTTAGTGAGCAAGTAAGACATCACAGGGATGATAGATGTATACGTAAAGAATCGAATCCGAACGATCATCGAGCAAGCCCTCAACCGTTAGGCTACTATCTCAAGCACATCGTGAACTTTTCTTACTCATTAGAGTAAACGAAACATAAGTAGAGTAGCCCACCACAGAAAACCTACAAAATCAATTGACGGGCTTTCAATGATGCAATGTTTTTGTTCTCTGGTCTCTTTTAAGAAATAACAGTAGAAAGTTTTGTGATGCTTAATTATCACAGAGTCAACTAGAAAAGGCACATTAAATTATTTCTTTATTTGCAATACACATCCATGTTAATTCAGGATGACAAGAAGAGAAGCATTGTTGATTTACGAGTCAAAGGCAAGCCCACGACGGTGTGACTAGGGGTTTCATGAGGAATCACCTCCTTGTGGCATGGTCTCAATGAGATGGCAGGGTTCACGTCCTTGTCGTGCACCTCACCACCCAAAGTCACAACTCATGCTCAACTCAACCAATCCCTTAGGGTTTGAAGCATGTGAAGTACACGACTGAAACAAGACAGTAATTTCATGGCAATATCTATTTCAATAGCAAGAGAGCCCTAAAGTTTCCCTGACATCTTCTCTAGCAACCCATATAGTTGTCCACTCTAGAACAGCTAGTGACCATGCAATTTTGAACCAATAATCATTCCAGCATTGTTGAGAATATGACAGACTAGATACTCCTAAGCGACGACTTACCACTGGTGAACACATGGAGAGAGGTTTGAAGAATGTATTTGATGTGGTTTTTACGACAGCGACCTGCATCGGGTTCCCAAACTAAATGACAACTCATCAACATGAGCTTCAAAAGCTCATCAAATGAGCAAGTTCCTTGCCTAATCAGAGTTGAAACCTAATTACACAATATCAATGGTATTGATGCCTGTTGTATTTGAGATAGAAGACAAGCAACTTTGTCAAGGAAAGAAAATTCTGCCTGTTTTCTCAGCTGAAACGCAGATATGGTGTGAAAAAAAAAAAAAAAAGGTATATTGTTGTTTCCTTGACTCCAGACCACAACTGTCACAATTCACTGTTTTAAAAATGGTCCTACCAAAGAGTGTACGAGCCAAGCAAGTGACAGATGTGCACTCCAAAGATCCTACATGATTTCTTTTCTCTGATTCAGGTAGAGAAAATTCTTGGTTACTGGCAAGGGACTGATGAAGATGATCAAGAATAATTTGTAGCACTTCAAAAGCATTGTTCATTTTTCCCTGTGAATATGGTATATCACTGCCAGAAATGCAATGGTCCAAGACAGCACATGGTGATTAAAATTCCGCAACTTCAGCAGAAATTGAAAACAGAAAATTGTAGGACACATACAAGTTACACAATATTACAAACCTCCTGGAAGAGATCTCCGCAAGAGGAAAATTTGTCAATGGCAATGCTTAAGAAGGTTGGAGAAACAATTTCTCTCCTAGTATTTATATGTGCTGCACTTAGTTTAACAAGTATCTCAGCTAATCCACGAAAAATGGAGGGATGTCCAACATGCTTATGTTCTGAAGCTGATTTACAAGTTAATTCATTTCGAAATTGTGGTATTTGCCATAAGGGCTGCACATTACCCCAAAAAACAAACAAAAAAATAAAAACAAACAAACAAACGATTTGAAAACTGGAACATTTTGATATAGGAAGACAAAAAAAAAAAAAAAATAGAAAAAGAGCATAATCAAAATCTGAATAGATATGGCAAAAGAACCTATATAATCACATTTTTAAGGAGCTATGGTTTTTGCCAATATCATTTTTCAGCCGAGCACCCAATACTTCAGATCCATCTGTCTAATCAACCTTGAAATCAGTCGGAGATTCTCCAGGTTTTTCTTCTTTCAAGAATAATTTTTAAGGCATTTTTTGCTCGATCTCCAAGGGAATATGCTTGTGCACACAGCATGCATCTGAAAGTTAAAAAGAACTATTTTCTCAGTGATGCTGCCCTTTAAAATTGTTCAACTAGCTTGAAAAAGATTCTCCAACCAAAGAAAAAAAGAAAAAAGGTTTGAAAGAGAGCATATTGTTTCATCATCCGAACTCCGGGTTATATCTTGATACTCAAATAGCCTTTCAAACCATTTATCTTGAAGATTCAGAACAGTCAATCCATATTAATTTCCAGTTCACGGTTTTTTGTCTATCCCCTCCATGTAAATAATAAACCTGAATACATTTAAGTACATATGTTGTACAAAACACATCCTTTCAGTGTTTGCTGGGGATCCAAACAGTGCAAACCATTGTGAACTGGTTTATTTCTGCAAGAGGGAAGCTATCCATGCAAGAGCCCATTTATCACACGCTTACTAAATCTAAATTCTAAAGTGAGCAGCCTTGGTTTCTTAATGCAGCAGGCATATGACAGAAGACTCGGCAATTTTATCAATGTAATTAGCAGAAGATCTTAATGAGCATCAATTCAATGCATACCGAAATGAAGCAAATAGAAGTATCTAAATGGTACTGTTATTAACTTGAATTATATCCTGATTTAAGATTTTCATTTCATTTTGACCATCACTTTGCAAATCCCCACCTCCATCCTTTGCAGTTTGATCATTATGCAATTTACTCTCTTCAGGAATACCTTCAGCTGATGGACCTGCTTAACACATAATACAGTTGAAAAATTAAGATCCACATAAACCCTAAGTAACAAACCTTAATTAGCGCTCTAATGAAATATTAGTATGAGGAATTTTAACCTTGCTTCACTTCCCCAACTCCTGGATTGCATAGAATGCTAGACCTCCCACTAAATTTTCTGAGATCATCAAATTGTGGACACTGGACAATGGAACAAATAAAGAACTGTCAACATAATACCACCAAAATTCATGTTAACTGTATGAGAAGATTAATACTTTATTTAGTTCTGGACACTTAACTGAATAATGGGACGAGTCAAAATCTGCCGCCTTTATATCACCAGAATACAAATCACTGCACGGGAAGGTATCAGATTCAAAGAACAGAATCCGTAGCTGAAAGAGCTTGTCTACACACTTGTCAAGGAGATTCTGCCAACATCCAATGACCTGTACAAATCAGAACAAATTACAAACTACGTAAAGAAAACCTATCCCATTATTAACTTTCTTTACCAATGTAATGCAATGGAATGGAATTTCCATACCTCCACATAAGCATCGTCATACATAGTCCAGCTTTTACCCTCATGACTATAACAAAAGCATACATAGTGCTGCTCAACATAGCAAACCTACAAATCAAATGATGCAAATGTTCTCTCATAAGGTTTTTTTTTATTTTTTTATTATTTTTTTTTTTTTGTTTTTTTGGGGGTCCATATAAACACAGTTTTCTGCTGCTAAAGCAGCACCATCTCCATGAAAAGGTAAATTTAGTTATTTCTTTATTTACAATAATAATCAAAACACAACTAATTCAAGACAAAAAGAGAACTAATTGTTCATTGAATCATTCGCAAGTAGTTTAGACTATTAATGTATGTATGTATGTATGCTAAGCAAACGAAGTATACCATTGAAACAAGGCAGTATTTGTTCCCCGGTCCTACACCTAGATATATAACACCAACATCTATTTCAATATCCAGAGCTGTAAAAGTATTCCTTATATCTTCTCTACTCTCATGTCTGGTCTGCATATTAAGAACTGCAATAGGAAACCACATCGTAAACTAGTAAATATTCCAGCATTAATTTTGAGAATACACCATACTACATATTTCTAGATAACTACCCACTAGCTTACCACAAATGAAGACATGGGGAGGTGTTCGAAGAATGAATTGAATATCATTAGGTTTTCCACAGCCACCCACACCTGGATTGCAAGTTGAGCAATCACTCATCAGCATCAGCTTCAAAAGCTCATCAAAGGAGCTAGCTTGATTTTGGTTCTGTTTCAGAAATGGGTGGCTAATCACACAAATGCTAATGGGTTAAAAAGCAATATGGTGTCTGTTACAATTTGGGATTTAAAAAAAAAGAAAAAGAAAAAGGTAACTTTGCAATGAAAAGAAAGGAAAAAAAATATCAAAACTGCCTTAGTTTCTCTAAGCTGACTTGAAAGTAGAGTGAGAAAAATCGGAAAATGTTTGATGCCTCCACAATTGACCACAGCTCTCACAATACCCAGAAATGTCGATACCAAAGAGTCTATGAGCTAAACATTTATCACTTGTGCAATGTGATTCAGATGAGAAGGTGTCTGGGGCTGGGCTGCTGGTGAAGGACTGATGAAGAATACCAAAAATATTTTGCAGAAGCTCATCGGCATCATTCATTTGTCCCTGTGAATTTGGTTGCATACTATTTTCAAAATTCTGTAACTATTGGTTAAACTGAGAGCAAGAGTAGAAGAGGTATTCAACATTCTCCTTACAAACCTCCTGAAAGAGATCCCTATGAGGGGACCATTTGCCGATGGCAGTTCTTAAGGAGGTTGTAGAACCAATTTCTCTCCTGAAACTGGTAGATGCCTCACTTAGTTTACCAAACACCTCAGCTAATCCACAAACAATGCAGGGATCTCCAACATGCTCATGTCCTGAATCTGATATGCTGCTTAACTCATACCGAACTGGTTGTATATTCCATAAGCACTGTATTTTGTTTAAAAACAACAAAAGATTTGAAAATCAAAATTGATGAAACTAGATGTGGAAATAGAACAATTACTCTAGGAAAAAGTACAAACTCAAATTTAATATGGATAGAACCTGTATGATCACATTTAAAAAGCAATTGTTTTCGCCATCGTTTTTTAGTCCAGCACCAAATATGCCAGATCCATCCACATAGTTGACCTTGGATAATCGAGGCAAATCATTTGTCACTCCATCTGCTTTCTTGTTCATCTCAGCAAGGTAATTTTGTCTGGTCCTGTTCTCAAATTGCCTCTGATCCTCCAAACTTTTATCACAATTCTCAAATCCAATCTTGCTATGTAGTTCCTCTTCCTCTGGTTTCAAGTTATTGGTGCTAGTAGAAACATTCGTAGCAGAATCTAAAGAACCACTATCAGATGCAATGAGAGTGTAGCTGTGGAATGCCAGGGGTAAAATCTTAGGTTCTGTATGAATTTAAAAATTCAAACTTAAGAGCATGTGAAGACAATTTTTTTTTTAATAAAACAAACATAAGGACTGTGAGAGAGAGTTTTGCAAGTAAAAATATCAAACAAAGTACAACATCAACTCACAGTTTCTCAGCATTTTTGTGATACAGAGGAAACTGCTCCTCATTTCCACTAGCTTCCTGCAATATGAAATTAGACTACTGTCATTGTCTTACAACATAGATATTTGTTTTTGATTAAAAAAAAAAAAAAGATACCATTTCCCCTGTGAACAAAACAAAACAAAGTCCAGTGACGAAAATCTTATCCATTACCTTCCTTTGATCTTTGTGCCTCTGATCCTCTAAAATTTCATTGAGACTTTCAAGCCCAATCTTTCTTCAATGTTCCTCTTCCTGTTGTTTCAGATCCTCAGTACCACTTCCTTTGGTCATATTCTTGCTGGGTTCAGGAGCAAGATCTGCCATTTCTAAAAGCATAGCTGCAGCATTAGCCTTCTCATCCATGGCCATCCCTTGATCTTTGCGCTTTTTATGTTTAGATTTCTTTCGTACTGTTCTTGAATTATCACTTCCTTTGGTCAAATTCTTGCTGGGTTCAGGAGCAAGATCTGCTAATGCTAAAAGCGCTTCTGCAGCATTAGCCTTCTCCACCACTTTTTCATCAGCAAGATCTTCCAGATGTGCCTAGGAATTTTAAAATGGAGGGCATCCATTGGATAAAAGAAGCACAATAACATCAAATAAAAGAGCCGAGAGCAAGAAGGTCCAACACCAACCCGTATAAATGACTTCACCAGATGGAACAAAATTAATTGATAATCTAGAGCAGATACCAACATGAATTTCAGCTCCATCCGCCTTATGCTAGCAATGCTTTTCATGATTAAAACATCAGATTCGCAAAACTGCAAGACTTAACATAGTGAGTCCACATGAAGAAAAATTATTTGTTTATGTTCCCAGATCATTTTACTATAGTTTTGATTTAGAGGTTCCACTTACAAGAATCAACATCAATAATGACTGGGTGAGAATCTAAAATAACATTAGGAGATTAGAAAAGGTAAGTAAATTGAAAGGAAAAGATATAAGCATAAATTTGCAATGATGAACTTTACAAAACAGTATCTATTTGTAAAATAGAATACACTCATAAGCAAAAATGTATTGTGAATGAATAAATGACATTTAAGATCAAATAGTAAAACGATGGAAAGGGTTAATAAAGTTGAGCTATAATTGAAAATCCACCTCTCTAGCTATATTTTGTTTCTCCATCTTTATTGCTTCTTCGACACACACATCTACCATTATATCTTGCTTCTCCTTGTCTTCATGATATACCAAATCAGGGAACTGAGCATATGTATTGATCAACGTTTCTTCAAGTCCAAACTTTTTACGACCAACATCTTGTGCAAATCTCAGAACATTTAATATACAAGCATGCTCATTCCCTATGATATCAGACTGAACGTCAAAAAGCTCATTTTGCCGCGCAAGCAACAGGGATGCAAAAGTTTGTTCTTTATACTCCGATATTTCCTCCGTCCTCTTACGTTCTTCAAGGCATATATTCTTAACAGCGGTCAGCGCTTCTTGGTACTCTAACAACCTGCTTTTTCTTTCACATAAGTTTTTTAATTGCCTAAATTCTGTTTCAACAAATTGGAAAACCGCCATCGCATGTTCTTTATCACAATTTCTGAGATATCTCCATGAATATAGCAGCGCCTGAATCTCATCACCGCTAAACAACCAATGCACGAAACTATCAGCATCATACTCCGTGTCCTTTCCAGGATCCTCAATGACAGAAATCACTGCAGTTCCCTCATCTCCAACAATGTTTCTATGCTTTCCTGAATCAAGATCCCATCTGATGAATCTCTTATCCAATATGAGACATGAAGTGTCACTATTAAAATGAATGGGCCGATCATCACAAAATTCCTCTTTGCTACCCCTTCCATCATCTGAGGAATTGCCCTCTAAACCACAGTCATTAAACAGCTCTTCCAAAAAGTTAAACACCACCTCAAGTTGCTCAAACCATAAAAAGCAAATACACAGGGGCATTGGCGTTTGTTCTAGGATAGGAACCAAGCCCTTAAATCCTACAACTAAACTCTCTTCTAACTCCTCTATAGTATAGTCCCACATCCATGACACAATAAATGGTGCCAGACACTGATTCTTCAAAAACAACTTGAGTAGTTGATGGATTTTCTTCAACAACTCTTGGCGCTCAGCATCATCACAGAACACCCACTTCTTCTGATCACTATAAAACTTGCACTTTTCTTGGTACACATCGTTTTTGCAATAATTGAATCTCGATAATTCTTTTACCATGTTATCTACATCCACAGGCTTCCACACCCCATTTTCGATCTCTTCAACGTATCTATCTTCAAATCCATAGAGCACAAGTTCCAATTGCTGCTCTGATAAACCCCTCAGATGCTTCAAGAAAACATGACTGCATAACTCCTTCCATTCCAAAAACATCTCTTCACAAACATAACATAGCAAACGCTTCCACTTGTTTGTCTTCCTTGCAAAGTCTATAGCCTCCAAGAAAATTTCCGCCGCGTAGTGATCATGCTTTATATAATAGTTTGCTATCTCATCAATACTCACTTCTAGTAGTCCTCTTCTCTCTTCACTGCTCATTTCCTTCCAACATTTCAAAACTTTAGTTTTCTTGCTCAAGTCTGCTATTATTTTCGCAATAATTTTTTTATTATTATCAAGAACAACACCAGTACGCAACATTTGTTCCCATTTCCTCACAAGCTCAATTTTGGATTCAATGACTTCTCTTTCCAGATTTTGATTTTTTCTAAATAACTCATCTTCCCAAACCCTAACTTTCTTCGATTGCAAAATCCTAAGGCTGGCACTCTCCTTCATCTTCTCAGTCACATTTTTGCCACTCATTAAAGATTCAACCTTGGCTTTCTCTATTATATCGAGTAATAGTTCTTTCACTCCCTGAATTCTTGATTCTTGGATCTTTCCTCTGTTTTCTAAATGGGAAGTAACAATGTCTTCGCCTGGACCCAAGGTCGCCGACGGGTTGGCCTTTATCGCTTCCCGGCATTGAACGATTATATTTTGATACTCATTAGAATCTTTAGCCAACTTGATGAGAATTTCACTATAGAGATAATTGAGAGTGATTGAATTTGGAAAAAGAGATAGGGCTTGTTTGGCTGAATCAGTGGCGTTTTTCAGGTATTTCAGTTTAAGAGCGGAGGAGGAATCGGAAGTTTGAGAGTAGCGTTTGAAGTGGAGAAAGGATTGGGTGTGGTGGAGAGCGGCGGAGTTTGGGTGTTTGGAAAGCAAGTCTTTGATTTTCTTTAGGGATTTTTGTGGGTTGCTATTCGCATCCTTTATTGCTTGTTCGCATGCCGATTTTATAATTTTCGAAGAAGAGGTGGATTGTGACGGGGATGGTGGTGGTGGTGGAGCCGAAGCGGAGGCGGGCTTCTTCGTCTTTCCCATTTGTGTGTGTTTCTTGGAGGGAATTTCAAGAAATGGAAAGTAAGTAATGGTTGGTTGGTTTATGGTAAGTTTGACGTTTTATTTTCTTTGAACACGGTGAAAGAAATCGACATATGCGGAGAGAGAAATTGGTGAGAAATATATACGGCAAAACCTCATTTTGATTTTTTTTTTTTTTTTTGGTTGACAAATTATACTGTATGCAAATAATGATTAATTTGACCGTATACTTATTATATTTAGAAAATTTGACCTAAAATATTAGTCACATGAAATGGAGTTTTGACTAAAACATTTTACTCTATTTTAAAAAATAATTTATAAAATAAGTTTTTAGCTAAAAATAACAAGATATCAAAATGAAATAATTTTTAAAAAATAATTTTATGTATTTTATTTGACCCATAGCGTAGCGGAGGTAAAAAAACTAATTATACTCTAGACAAATAATGATTAATTTGATCCTATATTTATTATATTTAGAAAATTTGATCTAAAATATTAGTCACATGAAATGGAGTTTTGAGTAAAACATTTTACTCTATTTTAAAAAATAATTTATAAAATAAGTTTTTAGCTAAAAATAACCAGATATCAAAATAAAATAATTTAAAAAAATAATTTTATGTATTTTATTCGACCCCGTAGCGTAGCGGAGGTAAAATAACTAATTATACTCTAGACAAATAATGATTAATTTGACCCTATATTTATTATATTTAGAAAATTTGATCTAAAATATTAGTCACATGAAATGGAGTTTTGACTAAAACATTTTACTCTATTTAAAAAGAAAAAATAAATAAATAAAAGTGAAGTGAGACTTGCATGCAACTTTCTCACAATCTCACACCTCATATTACATATTTTTTAAAAATAAAAATAGAAGAAACCTAATTTCAATTTAGACTTCTAATGTAATAAACCTACTTTCTTTTACGAACCTAATTTTTTATAAATTTATTTAAAAAACAAGGACAGCTTGGATCGAATTTCTTAAAAAAAATAAATGAATATATGGTTGTATTTATCAAATTATTTAGGCTTAATATATGGAAAAAAATCATGAACTTTACACCTTTTAATCATATTATCTCTCTGTTTTTTTAAAAAAAATTTGGATAGAAAGATTATGAACTAAACTTCTAGTAACAAAGCAAGCATAGGTATATTTTTTTATTTAAATTCCAACCAAAACTAACATAGCATGTGATGGAGCATGACAACATGACTAACTTTGTAACATCCTTGACCTATGACCTAAATAGGTCAAGAATATTACGAGCGTTGTCCTATATTCCTAATGCAATGAAGGTAAAACAACAAGTCTCCTCCCTTTATTTAGCACGTAAGGTCCCTATAAATTAAAAATATTAGGTCCATTTCTCCTTTTAAAACATGTATAAAATTTTTTCATAAATTAATTCAACATCAATTAGAAATCCTATCGCATCCTTAGAAATATTAAGCTTTGATTTTGGGATCCAAAAATCATATTTTCAAAATCTAATTTAATTATTTTTATAAAATACCTTAAATAAAACTAAATTGATCCACGTTTTTATTTTTCTCAAGATCCTTATAAAAATTAGGATATCAATTAAAACAATTCTATTTAAAGAAAACTAGTCAAATTAATGCAATGGAAAATAAATTCTTGATAAATCTACTTAAACTTGATATAAAATATTCATGCTATAACATTTTAAAAATTAGTTTATTTCTTTAAATAAAAGTCTCTATATTAAAAATTTATTTAAAACATAAATCCTTTTCATTTTTCTACGTAATTTGAACTAATTTGAAAATAATCTAGTTTAATTTGAAATAATACATTTCTACCATTTTCTTCAAAATTCAATTTTTAGGAAAATATTTTACTTTCTTAGAAATGATTAATTTAAGTAAGAATCATTATTTAAAACTATTTGAATTATGAATTTACTAAAACATTTGATTTGTCCTCCAATAAATTCAATTATTCTAATTAAGCTATTTATTTATGCAATAAAATATTTTTAGGGTTTATGAAACATTGGTTCAAACAAGTTGAAAAACTTGACAAAATAATTTCTTATATTTAATTAAATATAGTCATTCATTTCATTTTATCCATTTCATTCTCGACTAGTGAATTAATCCTTCCCTTATCCATTTAATTTCTCATTTCCATACCCAATATTTGCTAACTCATTTAATTTACATTAACTATGTAATAATACTAACCATACACACCCATATTTACTTGTTAGTTAGTGTTCTAGTGCATGATTAATTTATACACCATTAGGATTATAAAGCAAGATATGAAGGAGAAGTTTGAGCTCTCTAACTCACAACAAAAGTTAAAGTACACTCTACGATAAGTGAGCTCCTCATCGCCTATGATTATCATACCAAAACGTGCCATCATTTTCTATTTTCTTCCCCTGCACCACAAAGGTAAAATGAACTTATGCCTAGTAAGTGTAATCAATGCATCGTATGGACATGATGTAATTTAAAAATCCTTTCATGCTTTGGAAATTCATTTTTCGTCTTCTAGCGCACCCTACCGATTGTATATATAATCGACCTTATTTTAAAATCATGTAATTGTGAACATATCATAAAAGCACCAGGTACCTCTCCATTCCTATTTTCATTTCCTGTTCCATACAAAAGGATGATCATTCCTCTTGTATTCATTTAGAGGTACTTGGCCATTTCCTTTCAAAACCATGCATTTCCTTTTTCTTTTCCTTTGGAAAACCATGAAAGAAAATTTTCATGAGTATGGCATGAAGTCCATGTGACAAGCATGCATTCTTGATCATTATAGTGTACATGTTAATGAATCAATCAAGCATTAATATGCACCAAATACACCTCAAAATGCATGAATTCATTACAAAATCATATACATGCATTAACACACAAAATCTTCATCTTTGCCAAATATAGCCAATACATTTCATTCTATATATTCATTCATTTCTCCATTAATTGCCCTTGCAATCAATCACGAGCAATCATAGGCATTCAAATCACATTAATCCATCATAATTTAAAACATTAAACAATCAATTACATGAGTTTTGTGTTGATCGAATATATTCAATAGCTAACCAATAAGATTTTTCACACCAATTCTTACTAATTTCCATCATAAAACCATAATCATCCATTAAATTCTAACATTCATATCATTTAGACACTTAAGCATGGTTGGTCGAATATCTCACTCTTGTTGTTCCATGAAATTTTTCATTTTAGATGTCTTAAACTTAGCTAAATTATGTTATAAACATCAATTAAACAAGTCTACCATGAAAATCTAATAACCCTAAATTTGAGTGTATGGTCAAATATCCCTCTATCATTCAACCTTGAACAATTCTTTTTCATGTCAACATGAATAACCATCATTCATCATCCTCTAAATATGATTGAATGCATATTTCATCAAAACAATCATTTCTCCTTAATTCTCCTTATTGGCTAAAACTATCATCATCCATAAACTATTCATTTTCAATCCATTCAACTAATTTCATACATACATATTAAACCACTAATTCCATAAATTTCACATCAATTTAACTTAATTCTAGTAAACGCAACAAAACCTAAACATGTAAACATAAGCCCTAATTCCACAAATTCCATCAAGACATCAAACAATCATCAAAAACATGTTCTCTTATAGTGTAGGTAAAACTACACTTAGTTAATTATTCTTGATAATCAAATGAGACTCGAAGTTGCAATTTCCTCTCCTTCCTCCTTCCTTCTTGGTTTTGGTCAAGACCTCCTTCTTATCTTCTCCTTTTGCTTGTCATCTTAAGGCTTCTAATGGTGTTTATATGGATGTTAGATGATGATTTGGGTGGGGTTTTAGGTTGGGTAAATATAATTTCTCCTCATTCCCCTAAATTCTCTTTGGTTTCTTTAGACTTTCAAGTTATTCATCAAACCTTTTTTTCCTTTTGGTTGGCCAAATATATAAAGAAAGAAGTGGCATGAGATCAAGCCATTTGAATGACACTTAGTTTAATCTTATGCTTTGCTTAACCATATTATTTTCTTAGCCAAGTTAATTTACTTATATTAATTTCCTTATCAATTTTCTTTTAATTTCCTTAGCCTTTCCTATTCTTCTTTTTCTCTTCCCATTGGCCGAACTAAACCAACTCCCAATTCTAGTTTCATTGCTAGAATTCTGATTCAATTTCAGCTTGGTAAAGCTGAATAACATGGTTCCCATGTTTGCCAAAAAAGTTATAATTTGGTCCCGAACTTTTATAATTTAATTCAATCACATCCCCATAACTTTGGATTCCCTACTTTTAATTGTTACATTCTAGCCCTTCTTTAAGATAATTTTAAACTAATATTAGTCTCTTGATTCCCATAATTAGTTAAATTAATTGACCAAAATTTTAACCCTTATAATTACCTCCCCGAAAATAATATAATTAAGCAACTAAAATTTTATTCTTCCAAAAACTAATCATCTACCTTTACCTCATTGTATTAAAATTATTTCCTCTACATCTTCTAATATTTATATGCATATAAATAATAATTTTAATACACACAAAATATTAATTCACACATTGAATTTTAACCAATCGCTTATTAATTAAATACTCATGCATTAATAAAAATGTTTCTCCTTCCATACATACATACATAATTATTTAGTAGGTTTTTGGTCAAGGATATTACATCCTTCCCTCCTTAAAAAAATTTCATCCTCGAATTCCTTAACTAAACAATTCAGGATATCTAATTTTCATTTCTTCCTCTCATTCCCATGTGACTTCCTCTATATTGTGGTTTCTCCACAACATCTTGACATGAGGGATTTGTTCATTCCTTAATTGCTTGATCTCGCTAGTCTAAAATCTGTATTGGTCCCTCTTCATAGCTCAAATTTGATTGGAGATCTATTGGCTCATCCTTTAGAGTATGATTCGAGTCCTTCTTATACTTCGGAGTATGGACATGTGGAAGAC